CCCAGTCAGATAAAGAAGAGACAGTCCCATGCTTGCATAATGGCAATGGCTTCCATATGGGCTCTTTGCTCTCTTTCATGGCAAACTCCATACTTCATCCCAGCTCAGCAATCAGAGGGTCCCTTAAAGACGTCAGATCTTGTCCTGGCTTTCCTCAAAATTCTGTTTCCAGTTCATGCAGAACCAAAGCCAAAGTTATTACCCCCACTTGCAGAAGTCCTTACAAATGACCACAAGGCCTGATACCATTTGTCATCAATCCCCTGCACCCTGCTTACCTCTCTGACCCTCCACTTTCTCTTTCACTCAGCTCTAACAACTCTGCCCTTGCCTCAGGATCTTTGTACCTGCTGTTCCTTCTGCCTGGGATGATGCCCCCTGGATGTCCACGTGGTTCACTGCTCAACCTCAGGGCTCCTGCATGTCACTTTCTCAGTGACCACACACTTCTCCTTGGGCATCCTGTTTAAAATGGCTACCCCACCCCATCATCCCCTTGGCTTGCTAGCGTTTTCACAGATTTTACTATCTGACATGCACACATACACATATTCACTAATTTTTTAACCGTTTGTCTCCCTGCCTAGAATGCAAGCTTCATGAAAGTCAGGCTTTCACCCATTTTGGTTCACTGTTGTGTTCTCCATGTCCAGAATGATGGTGCCTAGCATGCAGCAGGGTCAGCATATATTTCTTGAATACATAAAGTAGAAAAATAATTTTGGACTAGATATTTCCAAGAGCAAAGGTATACACAAAAAAAATTCTTGTAATGGCTCGGGACTCAGACATGCTTTCCTTATATTGGGTTATTTTTGGTCTTTTGAGAAATTAACTTTATTTCTTGATCTTTTTCATAATTAATTCAGAATAATTTAATATACTGCTTTGTTGAAGATGTCAAGCCAGTAGGGCACAGGAAAGAAGCCTTCCTTTTGGGAATATAGCAGCATATATCTGGTGAGAAAATAAAACGTGCAAAAGAAACATCTTGTTGTTTGTGTTGTGGGATCTACTGGCACAAACATACACATACAGGCTGCATGAAATCTGTTGTCATGATTCCTGTTTTTGATGTTGCCCCCTCTGTGTTTACTTTGCATGCTCTCCTTTAGAAAGTGTGATATTCTCTATCATCTATCTATCTATCTATCTATCTATCATCATCTATCTCCAAGGAGAAGTTCTTATAGGTGTGTATGAAGTCCTGCACACCTGAAAGATTCATTTATAAAATAATCCTGTGATAAATCTCAGCAGGCAATTCAGTATTTGCTTAGCTGGAATGGCCTCTGCACCCAAGAGGAGAGGAGAGGAAGGGAGAGGGAGAGAAGAGCAGCAGGAGGAAAGGAGACACCTCACAGTCACTTGGTCCTGCTGATTGCATTTTCTCATAAATATTTGCCTTGAGTGATGCAGTTAAGATGTATTTGAAGCCTGCAGTCATTGCTCTGTCTTATTCCAGTCCAGCACAGTCCACTATTGACAAGCGCTTATTTTCCAAAGCAGCTTTAGTTTTTCTTTCAGTGCGGGGATTGATCCCAGGGTTTACAAGGATACTAGGCAAATGCTCGACCAGTGAGCTACCTCCCCAGCCCCAGTGCTTTTTGGGTGGCCTTTGTTTGAATTAATTCCTAAGGCAAAGGGGATCCATCAGCTTTGCTTTTCCTTGGACGGAAGTGACCTCCTGCCTTTTCCTCATCTTCACCTTTCCTGACTCTCTGATTCCTCCCCTGTAGCCCCCTCTCCTTTTCAGGACTAGGAAACCAGTTTTAGTCCCAGCCTCTTGGTGGTCTCTGTGGTCTCCCACTGATCACATTTTATCTTCTTTCCCCAAAGAAGACAGCCTTCCTGCCCGTCAAACCCTTCCCCCTCCTTGGGCCTGCCCTTCCCGACAACCATGGCTCACTGTTGGTTTCCATACAATGTAGAAATGAACAAAGGCATTTGATAATTTAGTGGAAATTTTCTTTAAGAAGCATCAAATTGGTGAGTGATAAGGTTATCTGAAGATATCAACCCAACCCAACAGACTCTATGGGAAACTGCTCTTGAATGGGAGAATATTCGCTAGCACACAGTACTCAGGCATGCAGGCAGAGTTCTAAGCATTTAAGGCATTCACTCTTCCTCCTAAAACAACCTGAAAAGTAGCTATGATCATTATCAGTCAGATTTTACATAGGAGGACAGGAGGACAAGAGAGGCTAAGTGGTGGAATTGTTGATTCTAATCAGGGCATTCTGGCTGTAAAAAAACTATCAAAGATCTTTTCCTAGAGCTCAGATTCTCTAACTGTCTGTACTGTACTCTTATCCACTTGAACTCAGTGGCAAACAAGGCAGGTTATCTGCAGCTTCAGAGCGAATACCCCATAACCCTTTGGCTTGGAACAGCTAATACAATTTAAGGCAAGTTTCATTACTGAGTCCATTCCCTATCCACGGATATTAACATACAGTCTGCCTGCCCCCTAAAACATGACAGTGGGTCCCGGTAAAAACAGAACCCTTGGTCACTATGAGCTCAGTGTACAAAGACAGACCCAAGAAAGTGTTGGTCCTTAAGAATCTGGGAGGAAAAAAGTGAAAGCTTTTAGTTGCAAAAGAATCTTGAGAGTGGGTAATTCCCATCTGGACCCCCACACAGTGGGTACCCATCCCCCTCTTATAGCCAGTGAGGAGAGGGGTCCCTGAGTTTATGAAAGAGCTGTTGTGGGGCTGGGTGTATAGTTCAGTAGGGGAGTGCTTACCTAGCACTCTCAAAGCCCTGAGTTCAATCCTCAGCACCACAAAAGCAAGCAAGCAAGCAAGCAAGCAAGCAGCTGTTGGCTTTCCTAGGGACTCAGTTGCTACATATTTTGATTTAAATAGGGTTTGGTTAGGAGAAGTTCCCAGATTATCCCTCTGCTCCTTCCCTTCCCTTCCCTTCCCTCCCCTCCCCTCCCCTCCCCACCCCTTCTCTTCTCTTCCCTTCCCTTCCTCCTCTGCTCAAATGACCTCTTGCATCAATATGACCTTCTGGGCCCTTGGGGTTACTGCAGTAGTGCAAGATTTAAACTGACAAATGCAGATGCTTGCTGTGGCAAAACCAATATGATCCAAATATAGAGCTCTACGGAGACTAAGGCTTGAGGTCTTTATTCCATTCCTCCTCTCAGAATTTGAGGTACCCTTAATTAGTGATCATCTCAACTGGTGAAAAGAGATCTTGTCTTCTCTCCACTTGCAATGCTTGGCCTTGCCCTAGTCCCTTCTCAACCCCATGACAAATTTTCTCTTGATCATTTTGGTCCAAATTACATTGTTCAGGAGAGCGAGGAATCAATGGAGGACAGTGTGCCATATCTACCCATCTCTGCTCTGGGCATATAGTAGGCACTCAGCAAAATTTTCTGACTCACTGAGGGTTGCATATTCCAGTACACTGAGACTTTTGGAAAATCTGTCTCTCAGAGCCTGTCAGCATAGGTTCCTTGCCTACATTTTCCTTGGGAAATGTTCCATCTAGAAGTAGCAAAGGGACAGGCCAGGAAACTCAGCTATGCCAAGAAGGAGGCAGCAAAGAAGACAGGGTCTTTTTCCTTTCTCCTGGAACCAGCTCTGGATTCTTTGCTGGCAAAGTCTGTGCTGGTAGAGTCTCCAGGTATTTTGCTTTTCACCTTTTGGACTACTGTACAGAATCCGATACAAGTGGTGACACTCACAAGAGCCCATTGTCCTAGTGCCTGGCCCTATAGATGGAAGACAGGATGGGAAGAAAGGCTAGAATTAATGCTTAAAATGAGGCTTAAAATGGGGCTGGGGGTTTAGCTCAGCGGCAGAGCACCTGCCTGGCAAGCTCAAGGTGGTGAGTTGAATTCCTGGTACCAGAAGAAAAACAAACAAACAAAAAAAAACAAAAAACAAAAAAATGAGGCTTAAAAAGTTACCCAGTATATTTTCATTCTTTCTGCTTGTTGTCAGTCTCTATGACCACAAGTCACCAAAATCTGTGACTTTGTCCCTGTGAACTGCAGGGTAGAAGGGCTTGTGCAGTCTGCCTGGGGGAGTCCAGTCTTCCTTACCTTAAACAGCAGGAAGGCCAACCTGAAGACTCAGGGAATGTGACAGCAAGTGAAGGCCAGCCACCCCTCCATGTCCCAGCACACACCCACTGTGACAACAGTAAGTGGGAAGTCTCAAGGAGACCAAGCCAGGGGTTCTTGGGAGGGGAGATGTCAGAAACAGAAATATGAGACTCTTGGCAGTGATAAAATAAATGGTTTTAATGGGAGGCTTCCTGAGATGACCACTGTGTCTTTGGCTATCAGCCAGTGTCGCTGCCCCAGGGTTTCTTAGGGGTGCACTGGCTGAACTGCTATTCCCACAGGAAACTAGGATGTCACTCTGATGCTCTGTCCCACCCCTCCGGGCATCCAGAGGTGTGTCTCAACATCAGGAGGCTGGGGCTAGCTGGCAGTCAGTCCAAGGGATGCTGTACTATGTGTGTCCTGGCCCGAGGGAGGAGTGAGGGGCTTCAGTTCTCACTTGGGGAAGAGGGTTTTGAAATTTCAACTCTGACCTTTACAAAGAAAACTAATCGATGCTTTAGTATTATATACAGGACAGGGGGAGATTATGTGGAGGGGGAAATTGCACTTAATTACAGCAGTTTATAGTTTACAGCCATTGGACGAATTTACTTCTTTAAAAGAAATCTCGAGATCATTTGGGATAGGGTTGGGAGAGGGAGTCTGTCGATATTTACAGCGTGTTTGGCTCAGTTCAGTAGCACATGTCCTCCTCTCTTCGTTTCAGTAACAGATTCAAGTTTTTGCATCAGTTTGTTCGATGAAGGATTGTAAGGTAGACTACCACGTTCTCTTCCTCTTGTGCAGTTTCCCGTTGCCCACCTCCAGGACAAACCGGAGCACTTGACATCTTAGGAGAGGCGTCGTGACAATACTGTGTAGAAGGGAAGCTGGGCTTCAGGCTGCGTCTCCTAAGAGCGGATTGTCTGAGGTGCCACCAGGGTGTCAGGTAAGCTGGGACCTCTCCCAGGTGCTTGTCAGGTCGCTGGGCTTTTCCACGACAGCTGCGCAGAGGGTGATGGTGTGGAAAAGAGTCCTTGTTGCTGTGCACGGAGTAAGTGATATGTGGACATCACCAGGCTTGCAATGGACACTGCAGAGAGAAAGAGAGGAGGGGAGAGAGCTCAGTTGTGTGCACCAGACAAGCACATGAGCCTTTAGTTCAGCTTCTGCAAGGAAGCTGACGCCTAACCCAGCCAGCAAACAGTGGTGAAGGGTGGAGGTCTAGCGGCTGCTCAGCTCTGCGCGTTGGCCCAGAAACACTTGTAGCCTTGGGAAAACCTGGGAGCTAGATTTCCTGGCCACTTCAGAAGAGAGAAATTAGTTGCTAGGGGCCTGAAAACAGTCCTAACTTGCTAAAGCTGAACTCCTCTTCCTGTGAGTATGGAACTTATGCACTCATTGTGGTTGCAAAAGTAGTTGAGTGGGGAGTTCTCATCTCTTGCAGAAATGAGGGTCTCCTCCGAAGATCTCTAAGACCAGGGGTGCCCTATCCCAGGGCTTCCCAAACTCTAATGGACCCACCACTTATGGCGATCTTCATAGAATAGCTCGATCCTGATTCTTAGACCCAGGGTGGACCTAGGAATATGCATTTCTCAGAATTTCCCAGGCTGTGCCCAGGCTGCTCATCTAGTCGGAGTAACACGGCCATCAGGCATGTGGGAAAACGGCGTCCACACAAACTTCCCTCTACCCAGGCTTTTCCAACTGGGAAGGAGCTTTGCCAACTGCAAAATGCTTTCTCAAGGTTTGTTGCCATTATGACAAGAAACTCAGAGAACAAGGAGAAGGATCCAGGGACTGAAGACCTCTGGTGCCATTTTTTTGAGCCTGGGGAAGGAGACCCCAGGAGACTGCTACTACCAGAGGCTTACTGTTACATTGTTATATCATTAACCAATGTTCCCAATCACAACCCCAGATGAGATTACCACTATGCCCATTTTACAGATTAGGAAATCAAGGCTTAAAGTGAGCTGGTTTCTGAACTGGGAGAGTGTGGAGCCAGAGATCTCAATCCTTCTTGGGTAATCTCATAGCATTTTTTTCATTCTACTACCCTTTCCTTTCTACTACACTTTTTCTACTTACCCTGAGGTTAAGAACCTTCTACTTAGCCTTGTGCCCTTGGTCAAGTTGCTCTCTCTCTGTGCCTCAGTTACTTTCCCTGGAAAATGGAAGTTGTGGGATTGGATGGGTCGATCTATGTGGAGTTCTCTGATTATAACTGGCTCACAAAGGGTTCCTCCATCCATGTTGCTCTTGAGGGCTCGTAAGAGCGAGCCTGAGCCATGAATTCATGTGAGGAGACAGGTTTCTGACCCTGCTACATTCTTGTGGGTCTGGTCAGCACCCTCTGATACCCTTTGCCTCTTCTTCTTCCCTCCACCCACCCCTACTCTCCAGTCTCTTTATTTCTCACTATCAGCGTTTTTCCAATTTTCAGATTTCAGGCCGAGGAGGGAGAAAACGGCTTCTGACCTTGCAGGTTTCAATAGAAGAGCAAACACGAAGGGAAGATAAGGAGACGCCAGTGAGATTCTATGACCTGTCATTAGGGATGGGCTTCCCAGCTATCAAATGTTTGCTCACATAATAAAATGGTGGCAGAGACTTAAATGTTGTCAAAAGAACTAGAGTTATTTGCCCCCTTCAGCGTCTAAACACAAACATCTGATAAGAGGTACACCGTGGTCCCTTAGAACTGGAGGCCTCGCACACCTAGTCCCATGAGGGTCTGGCCCAGACAATCCCGGGGTGACCCTCTACATGAAAGGTATTGCAGCAATAGCCCTCATCCTGAGAGAATTTGTTGCATGATAATAATAGCTAACACATATTGAGCTCCTGTGTGTGCCAGGCACAGGCATCAGGGCTTTGCACACACTATTTCATTTAACTCTTCCATCGTCTCTTTGAAGTAGAGAGTTGCCATTCATGTTTTTACTTTCTAGGCCCGGGGAGTACAGCTATGAACAAGACCTATGCATTCTAGTCAGCATTAATCAGCATAAATACCTATAGAATCAACCTTCAGGCAGTGATGAATACTCTATAGCAAATAAGCAATGGTAGGAGGTTAGGGTGACTTGAGGGAAAAGATCATAATTTCAGGGAGATTAGGAGAGGCCTCTTTGAGGTGGTGACATTTGAGCTGAATGAAGTGAAGGAACAAGCAGGTAAAGAAGCACACAAAAGAGTATTGTGAGGGAAGGACAAATGCGAAGACTTGAGGGGGATTGCTCAGCTTGGTACCGTTGAATCCAGTAAGTACGCGAGGGCCGGAGGCAGGGGAGAATGAGGACACCAGCAGTGTCTGATCACTCAAGGCCTTCTAAGTCTCTTAGTTTGGCTGCAGATGGAACGTTGCTGGGGATTCTTGATAGGGGAGGAACGTGCCTGATTTTTCTTGAAGCGACCATTCTGGCTGGTGAGTGGTGAATACACCACAAAGATACAAGGATGGAAGTGAGAAACAGAGGCCCCTGAAGGAGATGAGCCAGTGAGAAGGGTTAGCACTAGGAATGAGCCTGAACTAGGACTGGGACAGTAGCCGTGGCTGTGCTGAGAGGTGGTCAGATTTAGATGTATTCTGAAGGATGTCCAGCAGGATTTTTTTTTTTTTTTTTTTTTTTTTTTTTTTTTCTCCGATACCAGGAACCGAACTCACAACCTTGCGCTTGCCAGGCAGGCGCTTTTGCCGCTGAGCTAAATCCCCAGCCTGAGTAGGACTTTTTTTGATAGATTGGATGTGGAATATGAAGAGAAAAATCGAGAGTTAATCTCAGATATCTCATGTGAAAAATGGTCTAATTTGGGGGAATGGAGAAGCCCAAGGAAGAAGTAATTTGGGGAGGGAGGAAGTGGAGCAAAATGTTTTAGGTATGTTCAGTTTAGGGGGACTATTGGATATAACTGTCAGGTATATGTGCTTGCCAAAGACAGACGAACCCTTGGTGGGCAGGAATGCCCTGGAGACAGAATTGCAGGAGCTGTGAGCGTGTGCTTGGTCCAAAGTCACAGGATTAGTGGACACTCAGGAGTGACCATAGATGAGAAGAGGCCAAAGAATGGGCCCTGGGCTCTCTAGTGCATCAGTGTTGGGAAGATGAGCTTCCAGTTAAAGACGCAGGAAGGACTGGCTTGTGCTGTAGGAGAAGAAACAGAACGATAGTGTCCTAGAATCCAGGGGAAAAAGGAGAGAGTGATTGGCTGTGCCAATCACTGTGCTGGATTTAGCAGCACAGGAGTTGGTGAACTGGATACTCTTCGTGAGGCGTGAGGACAGAGGCCGGTCTGCAACGGTCTTGAGAGACCTGAGGGTGAGGAAGTGGAGATTCTGAGCACAGACAGCTCATTTCAATTATTATTAACTTATGTGAGGTTAATTGTAGCTCTACTAATTGAAAGTAATAATTACAGTTCCAAACCAGGCATGGTGGTAGATGCCTATACCATAAGCTACTCAGGAGCTGAGGCAGGAGGATTGCAAATTCAGGGGCAACTATCTTAGTTACTTTCCTTTTTTTTTTTTTTTTTATCTTTTTGAGACAGGGTCTCACTATGCAGTTCAGGCTGGCCTTGAGCTCACTTTGTAGCCCAGGCTGGCCTCGAACTCGCAACGATCCTCCTACCTCAGCCTCCCGAGTGCTGGGATTACAGGTGTGCACCACCATGCCCGGCCTTAGTTACTTTTCTTGTTGTTGAGACAAAATACCCAACACCCGAGGTTAAAGGGAGAAAGATTTATTTAGGTCACAGTTTGTAGAGGTTTCAGTCTATAATCAGCTGGCTCCAAGGAAGGGTGGCATGGCAGAGGGGCAACAATTCATGGCAGCACGAGACAGCAAAAGCAATAAGCAAGAGGGAGAAACAAGCCACTTTCTGCCCCTTTCATTTTATCCAAACTGCTGAGATTGGGGCAGTGCCAATCCAGTCAGTGAACTGATCCAGCAATCACCCACTCTTAATCCCAGCACCCTTAATCCTAGCAGTGAACCATGAGTTAATCACAAACTCTAGATTCAGCCACCTCCCAAAGAACTCTATGATTGCATGAGACTTTTGGGGGGGGGGACATTTGGATACAAATCATAACAGCAATTTAATAAGACCTTGTCTCAAAATAAAATTTAAAAAAAGGGCTGTGGGATGTAGTTCATCCCAGTACCACACACATCACCATCATCACCACCACCCTCATCATCATACAATTCCAATTTTACAAATGAGGGAAGTACAATTTAGAGAGATTAATTTGCCCAGGATTTTATACGAGCAATTCTGTGCTCTTAAACACTACATAGGATCATTTTCTACCTTCTGAGCAAGGAGATGGGGAAATAAATGCCCTTGCCATTGAAAAACCTACTTCTCAAGTTCCAGACATACTTGTTGACAGCAAGAGAAGCCAAGTGTGACCCAGCACCTGGGGACTGGATGTTTCTTTCTGGTCAAGCAACAAGTGATATAAGTCTTCCTTGCTATTAGTTCTCTCAGTGAACCCACAAAAGGGCTATCATTATCCTCATTTTGCACATAAAGAAACTGAGGCCCAGAGAGGTTGACACATTTCCCTGAGGTCACACAGGAAAAGAGTGGCAGAATGATGAGTGTGCATGTGCTGAGCTCCCAAGTGAGAGCGCCTAACCATCAAGCATTCTGTCTCATCACCAGTGAAGCCCACTAGGGGGGGGGGGTGCAGCAGCCGGGGATTTATGATGAGGCTGCCCACTTCCTTGTTGTCCACACCTCTGATCAGGGACTGTCTGGGGGCCTCTCTTGACCTCCTTATAAACTAGGAAGTGAGGCAGTGGGTACAGAGAGTTGTGGAAACAAGAGTCGGTTTACAGCCTGTCCACACTTGTTCTAGCCAGGGCCAGTGCTTCTGCAGTCTTATTTTTAGACTGGTGGCGCACTGTTATATGGTTGTGCAGGCACAAACCCACCCAGAAAATAACCCACCAGCAACCAAGATTTAAGAAGGAAAGAGAGGCATATGTCATGGAAAGAACTGATTGTGGTAGCCGCAGAAGAATTTGGGTCAACCTGAGGTTTCTGAAATAAGATTCCCAGAGCCCTTGGGGCACGCACGTCTGACTTGACAACAGGAAGTACTATGACCAGGTAGATCCAAGTTCATATTCTGATTGATTGCTGCATAACCTTGAGTCATGATTACGGGTGCTTAAAAATGGATACTGGAAGATGAGGGCTGTTTAATGTATTTAAAGTGAAAAGAATAAAGCCTGGAAGTCCAGCTCTAGAATTTATCACTCACATAAACTTGTCCAGACCCAGAAACCTGAGGTTTCTGTTCTGTAATCAGGCGTAAAAATATCTACCTTGCAGATGAGTGGGAGGGTTAGCCAGAGAAGTAAAATATAAAAACTCATGGAATACTGCTTAGAAAATGAGAGATACTAAAAAAATACTAGTTCTGAATCCATCTGTCCGTCCGTCCGTCCATCCATCCATCCATCCATCCACCCATCCATCTACCCACTCATCCATCCATCCATCCATCCATCCATCCATCCATCCATCCACCTACCCACCTACCCATCCATCCATCCACCCATCCATCTACCCATCCATCCACCCACCCACCCATCCATCCATCCACCTACCCACCTACCCATCCATCCATCCATCTTAACTGAATATCTACCATAGCTGGGGCATTGGACTAAACATTAAGGGTTTAGGTATTCTGAGCAGTCCCTGAACTATTTGCTGTTTTCCTGAGAGTTGGGTGAGAGGGTGTCTTATGCCAGCAGAGTGAAAAAGAGAGATCTGAAGCCCAGGCCTAAGAGGTGGGATGTGCTATAAAGACGGTCCTAATCTTGAGAAATGTTACTATCAGAACCTCCTTTGACCACACAGAGACTAAGCACACAGAGACTTAGCACCAAGGTATCAGTGGAAGGAAAGACAGAAGACAAGGGAAGGAAGAGAGCAAGAGCTCCCACTTTGAGCATTTAACTGTGTCCCACGCACACTGAACATAGTGAGATGGGGGTGGAATTTTCCTTCCATATGGATGAGTCTCACAGTGGGGAATGAACCGCCAATCTCACAGGGTGATGAAGCAGGGAAGATCTTTCAGCTCTACAATGTTTCTAAAGCACCACTGCCCAGCCACGCCCCTGTGACCTAAGCACGATGCACACAAATTATCCAGTTTGATGTGTGTGCACGTCTGTACATGAAATGTTCTGAAAAGCCCTGCCCAGCAGTGTTTAACTTTGTTAATAATCTTGCAGTTCCCCAACACATCTGACCAAAGAGTCCTTCTCTCCCTTCACTCCATAGGCCCCTGATATCTAGAACTGACTGGGAAATGCCCCTTGGAAAATAGTGCTACTTCCAACAAAAAGAAGAATTGCTACCAGGGCTCTTTGAGAATGCTTGTGGCTCCTAGCCGTAGGATCAGAGTTTGTACAAACTGTCTTCACCTTGGGTACCTTCGATGGTCAGGAGGGGATGCCTTTACCTTCATCCTAGTTCATTCTGCCTTTTCCATTCCTCCTCCTCCTTTGGTTCACAGGAAGAAAATTTTCTGAGTGGAACTTAGCACATGGGCTTAATCTTTACACTGGCTCACGAACACTAAAGATGACAAGAGCAACAGCAATTGCCATGGGGATTTAACAAGGATATTGGAAGGTAAGTGTTGTTTAAGTGGAAAGAGGCCATGGTTCGGAGTCAAAGAGAAAAGTCTGGAGCTCAGGCTCTAGAATTTATTATCTATGTGATCTTGGACAGGTCATTCTGTATCTCTGAGCTTCAGTTTATGTCTTTGTACTTAGAAAATGTAAAATAAAAAGTGATGAGATAACATTAATGAGAGGTATAAACTTTAAAGTGCTATGTGTGTTTATCCTTCCAGTGATGATCCTCTCCATCACTGCAGAAACGAGTCTCTTGCAAGACTCCTGAAATGTCTAGTGACACAGAGACGACTTCACAGCAGATGGAGAAGGCTGCTCCTGCAGCTTCAAGGTCGGCTGACCACTCTGTCCAATGGAGAGGAGAAGCCATTTGGAGGCTAGTGCAGAGTCTCAGAGAGCATCTTGAAGCATTTTGATTAAGAGCCCATTTCCTGCATCCAGAGACTCATTTCAGCAAGCAAGCCTCAAAGTCAATTTGGGGAAGACAGGAATAATTAATCATGGTCCTGTCTAGGGCTGACCAAGTGGCAGATGAATTGATAAAGCTTTCAAAGCGGAAGATATTCCCAAGGAGGTGGCTGCGCCTGGCTGCCCCCCTGATCGAGATTTGTGAGTGCAGATAAATGTTTTCCCTGCTCACTACAAAGAGTGGGAAATCGCATGGGAGTTGAAGGGCAGGGCAACGGGGGATTGTTCTTTAATCTTCTATTGGGTGAGAGAAGTGTGGTAAAGCAGATCCCACACACTTCTCCTTCTACTCCCAACACCACAGTCCAGTTGCCCGGCCTGTGCATATTTCAGCAGCCCAGATGGGCAGGTATTTAATCTATGCCACCTTGCCAAATCCTTAGAACGAGGAGACCTTACAAGTATTACCATAAAGATGAACAAATGAAGGTTCTGGGAGGTCAAAGAAATCAGGAAAATGGCGGGAATAGAATCGACCTGCCTTGCTACACTCTTAGACTGGAGGTAGAAGAAGATGGGGTTAGGAGAAGAACAAAGACTCCTGAACCCATGAATAAATCTGCTCAGAAGCACATGGCAATGGGTGAGGCGTGATTTACAGTGCTCAGGCGGAAAAAAGACCATTCACAAGATCAAGTTCTGCTGAGCACCTCTGACATGAAGTTCAAGGTTGTCTCCTCCTTATCTAATAATCAATAAAGGCCAAACAGTTCTCACACTGCACAGACCCCAGCTACTAAAAGGTCTTATTGTGTTTTTCAGGAGCTGTCATCCATGTTCAAACATCTCGTCCTGTTTCTAACTCTCGGTGTCCTGCCGCAGTGCAGCTGTGTGGCTGCAGCAACGCACTTGGCTGCCGGTGGCTTGTCTTTACTAGTCCATCACCTTGATGAGGAGGTGGGAATGATTCACCAAGGGAAACAGTGACCGAACCTCTCCATCCCCCACTTTTAGCGCACCAGGAAGGTGATTCTAAACTCAAAGTGAATCAGACCCTTGCAAAGGCCACGCTGTCTGCTGGGGAGTCCCCATGGTTGGCATAATCGGGTCAACCCTTGAAGCATACAGCATCTGGGCCTGGCAGGGGTCCTGGACTGAGAGAATCAGCCTCAGGACCCTGGACTCACCACTCATGTTCTCCATTGACCACCTTTGAAAAGCATGAAAACTCAACAGATGGCCTGACCTCCTGAGCCCTTCCTGGAAATACCCTTCCCATAGATCATCAATCATCCCATGGGGGAATATTTGATCTCAGGCTTAACGGCTTTGTGTCATCCATTCTCCAGAGACCTCTCAAACTTCAGTGCCTGATGGCAGGGGAAACGGGGAGCAATAAGCCTCTTTGGCCTATGGTCCATCTTTCTCCTGTCAGCTCAGGGATTCTTTTAGCAAGCAACCAAAGGAGGCTCAGAAGGAAGCGTCAAAGGGACCAAAATATGGCTGAGTCCACCCTTGCCACACTTCAGGCACAGCAAATGTTGGTCATGCCACCCGCCAGCCCTGCCGCCCCATCCTGTTGGCGTTACCTGTTTACTGGAAGACATGTTGGAGAGTGTGCTGATGCTGCTGGTATCCGTGACCACCATCGCAGAGGGAAACCGGGAGGTGTGGGAATACTGGGGGGGTTCCTGCTTGTGTGTGTACACTGGGGAGGAAGAGGGAAGACAAAATCAAGATACATACACAGCTATAGCTCCCCATCTCACACCATAGCTCCCATTTGCCTGCAGAGATGAAAGAGGGTGGTGTTTATGTTTGGGAAGGCAGTGAAATGTGATCAAATCCTGGCTCCTTACTCAAGTTACTTAAGCTCAGTTTGCCTGAAAAATGGGGATGATATCTATTGTGGGATTAGGAATTATCATGTTTAAACTACTTTGTACCAAGTACATAAATAGCTTTGTACTGTGCCTAAAACACTTCTGTTCCCCTGATTGTCAATAAAATATGAGGTGCCTGGGCATCAACAAGTGACCCTTAGGCTTATGTGGTGAATCTGAGATTTAAGTCAAAATATACTTTAAGCATGTGGCCAGCATGAAGTATCTGGCTAAGCTCAGGCTTGCTGCTTCTGCCGTGACTCAAACATCAGATCTCCTATGAGAGTTGTAGACTGATTAACAGCTATAATTAGATAGAAGTATAATTGATTGTATAATTCTGGGCTATTCCAGTTTGCATTAAAATAATATCATAGCCTTGTAACATGGAAATATGAAAGATAAACAAAGGAAACTAGATCCCAATAGAACCTCCAAGAGCATGTGACTTGAATTTTAGTTTCTTAGTACTTGTCCATGACATCTGGCACTGCTCACTCTTAACTGTTATCCAGAAAAATTATGCAAATTCTGTTATGTGACCAATTAATGAGAGCAGGTAGATGCTTGGCTGTGAGGGAGAGACCAGCCCGTTCTCAGAACACAGAATCTATCAAGGAACCCGTCAGTGGGGAATGGGGCTGAAGGTCACCCGCTGGTGTCCCAGTTCGCCCCTCTTGAGTAGAGATACTGATTGTTTCATAGTCCAGGGACCCATGGGCTCTCTGTGGCCTGCCCACAGGTTGCTGGCAGCCACTCTCTGACTGTCCTACTCAGGCCTGGCCACTGAGGGACCCTGCCCAAGTGAGGGAGAAGAGCATATTGCCAAGCTGTGGGAGGAAGGGAAATGAGGGACCTGTGGGCCTGGACTCTGCTACAGGCTGTGACAGATTTTTAGAAGCCGCGAATATGTGACTGGAATGTGAGATGGTGCTCAGAAACCAGCTCTACAAGTCCAAGTAGGGACTGAGCCCAAAGGACAGAAGGCTGAACTTGGCTGTTCTCCTTTACACCTGAAACCTTGTCAGAAGCAGCGTGGAGGCTGAGGGGCTTAAATCCCCTTTGCCATCTTTCCCTTTTAGGTGTCCATTAATAAATAACCTCTTGCATTTCTATAACTCTTTATGTTTATAAAATGCAGTTCACTCCTCTTTTTGTTTCATTTTCATAATGACCCTAGAGGCATATGATTCTTATTTTATGCATGAAGAAACTAAGACTTAGAGTAGCTTAAGTAACTTGCCAGTGGCTACATAGCTGGTGAGTCGGGTTTAAATTCAGGTCTGTCTAAGAATATATATGAACACCTTCTTCTGGCAGTCCTGAAGCAGGAACACCATTTATCCTTCAAATGGTTCCTCCCTGAACTTGATTTCTCTCCAAACATCTAGGCCATGGACTGTGGCCAGATTTGGCCAGAGGCCTGGAGGCTTGGGATGGAAGATAGAAGACAGAGAGGCAGTTGATTTAGGGAAGGCGCAGAAACTGGATCCAGGGGAATTCTCTGCACGGGGCAGAAACTCTGATACTCCTCACCCGGGATGGTGTGTAGGTAGTATTTTCCACCTCTGTTCATGGTTTTTGATCAGAGATGTCTGGTGTATATAAATTTGGAGAACGGGAACTCTAGAAGATTTTTCTATTTCAGGGAGGCAAACAGAATACAAATTATAGGTCAAAGCTGGTCATTTGGAAATGGCCTCTTGGAATTGTGGATTGGAAAGGCTGAGTTGAGGGAATGGAGATGTAGCTCAGTGGGAGAGCATTTGCCTACTACGAGTGAGCCCCTGGGTTCGATGCCCAGTACCATCATAAAAGAAAAAAAGGCTAAACTGAGGCTCCCCGGGAAGTTGCTGTGGTTGGTGGATGACATCTTTCCCACTGTGGCTGAATGGAGATTACGGCATGCGTTCCACAGTCTCTCTATCTCTAACTCGCCTTTACGGTAGGCCTAAGGTATCCCCTGCAGACCGTCCCCTGGGAATCTTGGGAGGAGGAGGAGCAACACGCAGAAGGCATGCTTCAGAAATTGTCTTGGTTGATTAGAGGGAGGGAAGATGACCAAACCCATAGCCTTCCAACCCATAGCCTTCCACCCTGAAGAGGGAAGCTCCTGTCCTCCTGTGTCCTTACTGTGTGAGTTCTGCAGCTGAGTCACGGCAGCCATGAAGGGCTGCTGGGCCATGTGGCTGCCTGGGCTCTGCTGCATGAGGGGCTGCTGGTGAGGGCTGTGCAGCTGCTGGGAGAACTGGACGGGCTGCAGGGCTGCCAGGCTGCCGGCCACACTGTTGATGACTGGAACGCTCTGTGCTTGGGAAGTGTTGAGGCCTGTGGGAGCAAGAGAGGACGGTCAGAGACGGCTTCAGGGGCAGGGAGAGGCAGGGGACGGCACCCAGAGTGACATGAAAAGTGACCTTACAGACCAGGAAACTGAGATTTGGAGAGATTCATTTATTTGCTGCAATTCCACAGTGTGTTGTGGGATGCAGACAGGCTTTAAATCAGTCTGACTGAAGCCTGAGCATCTGCAAAAGTCATCCTGTGACTTCCCAAACTTAGCCCCTTGAAGTTACCAGGGCCTTGGGGAAGCTGACTGTATTTATCACTTCCATCCACTCCAGACTGAAAAAGCCTTGCCTGGTGGCCTGGGGCAGTTATAGGTGTCCACTAGGGAATGGATTGATGGCCACATCTGGCTTTCCAGTAGAGGGCAGCAGTGTGCAAGGACCCACACCTCGATTCAAAACAAAACACCTCCATAGTCCTGCGTATGGAGCCTGAAGCCCGAGTTTAGCAGACTGTGCAAACACTGTGAGAGAGGTCGGGGTCTTGACTATACCAGACAGGAGGAAAACACGGGAACTCAGCCACTCTATGAAGTGGACATGTCTGCACAGGGCTGGCTACATAGGGCTGAGGGTATCAAAAAGACCAGGTTTGGGGGAAAGAAGTAGCAAGTTAGAGGTCAGCCCTTGACAGTGACAGGGCATCTTGTCATCTTGCTGTTCCAGGGTGAGAGAACCTCTGTGATATGGTATTATGTCTATATCCTGAGGTCTATTTAGAACCTGGGCCAGCACTGTAAGGACTGGGTCCCACGGTGCTCGTGCTCTTGCTGCTCGTTGGTGGGCCTCTGGGAAAGAGAGCTGAGGCACGGTCGGGGTGGGAACAAGAATCAGAAGAGAAGACACCCCAAACTCTTCTGGAACAGTCAATGTTCCTTTGTTCTTATTTTCTGGGGTGAAGAAGGAAATCCATGCAAATTATTTTAGGTAGACACAGAGGGAACAGCTGGAGAGCCTTTCCTGAAAGGGCCAGGATTTTGTGAGCAGGATGATGGTGGGTGGGGGTTGGGGGTGGTCCTCAATGGAGATAACACAAAGTCCTCAACAATTGCATACTCAGAGCTTTGGTTGATACTGTTATCAGAAACCTAAAAGGCAAGACCTCAGAGGAGAAAAGAAAGGGGGAAAATCCTTCTTCTGGCTCCCCTGGTGAGGGCTGGGAATAAGACCTTTTGATCTCCCTCAGAATAAACATGACTTCCACTTCCCCCAGGGGGCTCAGCTTCTCCCCAGCCGGTGATTCACCAGATACCTGATGTCCTCTTTCCCTTTTCTACTTCCTACTTAGGGTCTTGGTCTCCTAGGAAGCCCCACAGGTTTGCTATTTCTCCAGGAGCCCATGGCCACTGCTCTTTTTGGAAAATCTCTGCCCAGAAAAGCAAATTAACCTGTCTAGAGTGCATGACATTTGAAGACATAGTTCTGAGTCCTGCCTGAGCTTCAGAGCTATCTAGGGGACTCTTTAAGAAATATACATTCCTGGGCCCAACCCAAGACTGGTGGGTCAGAATCTTCAAGGGTGGGGCCTAGGAATCTTATTTTCAACAGAGTCTGTGATCCTGATATGCCTCAGTTCCAGGACTGAGTGCTCTGATGTCATTCTAGCTCCTGTGATGTGTGACTCTTGGCATTTTTCTTCTGTTTTTCTCTGCAGTTTCCTGCGTAAGAAGCATCTACCGGAAGCTGTCCAGGAGATGCACAGAGAGTAAGAATTTAGCATTGACAAGATATTTGTCCTGAAGCAGCGCTAGTACACTCAACAACACATAGTGGCTAAGTGAGAATGCCTGCAAAGTCCTGTTCATCTGGACACTCCAAAGAATGGGACCTCTGTGTCTCAGCAAAGCTTGCAGCTGAGCCTCACCAATTTTTTTTCAGTAGTGAGGATTGAACTGAGGGCCGCTGTACGCTGAGCTGGGCTACATACCCAGCTTATTTTATTTTATATTATTTTGAGACGGGATCTCGCTAAGTTGCCTAGGAAGGACTTGAACTTGCGATTCTCCTGCCTTCACCACCCTGAGAGCTGGGGTGACAGGTATGTGCCGCTGTGCCAGGCTTTATCCTCACCATTCTTCATGTTCTCTCTACCCAAAGTGTATAAGTGCACATCCTCCTAGGTCAGTGTACACGCTAGTGCCGCCCACATGCTATAGATCATTGTGAGAAGGTAGAGACGTCTGAGTAGAGGAAATTAGGAAAAACAAAATAGGAATATATAGAATGGCCATAGGGAAAATTTTAGTTCAGATAAATGATGCAAAAATGATGTATGTAACTGTACATGTCATTCAGAGCTTGGTGTGGAAAGAAAGAAGTCTCACAGTTTGTGTATCATTTGGTTGTAGAAATAAGGAAGTGGGTATGTTATCCATGGGCCTGTTAATTAAATCCCACTGAGCAAGCTTCTTTCAGGTATTCTATCCCATTTTCAATCCAAACCTTTGTATTAGTTTGGTTATGAAAGTTCAAGTACCAGAGGGTCTAGTGAAAAGTAAGGCAATAAATTAAAAATAATTTATTTACTTTTTAATTTTTTTGTGTGGTACTAGGGATCAGGATCTTCACACTGAGCTACACCCCTGCCCTTTTTTATATTTATTTATTTATTTATTTTGTACCAGAACTCATGACTTTGCACTTCCCAGGCAGGTGCTGTGCCGCTGAGCTATATCCCCGGCAGTTAATTGTTTGTTTATTTGTATTTTTTTTTGAGACAGGGGCTTGCTGTGTCCTTCAGGCTGGCTTTGCGTTAACTGCAGCCCAGGTTGGCCTTGAACCGTGGCTGATTCTCCTGCCTCAGCCTCTCGAGTATAGGGATTACAGGCATGTGCCACCACACCCAGTTTATGTTTTATTTTGAAACAGGTCTCACTAAATTGCTAGGTTGCCCAAGCTGGGCTTGAACATGTGATCCTCCTGCCTCAGCTTCCCTGAGTGCTGTGATTATAGGCATATGCCACTATATCCCCCAACTTTTTTATTTTGTAAATCCTCTAAAGGCTTCTTTCCCATTTTCCTTCTGCAAAAATACAGAGTATGTTGATTTCCTAGCAGCTAAGGATAGAGTAAGAGCCATACAAACTCATTCAATAAATTTGTGTGCCTCCAATGTGCCTACCCCATTCTACTCTCAAAGGACACATACATCATTGTCTTTAGAAATGATCTAAGTTGCTATCCTAGCTAGAGCTGATTTGAGGAGATGAGGGAAGGAAAGAAAAATGCAGGACCTGGGCATGGTGGTGCATACCTATAGTCCAGTGCTTAAAAGGCTCAGCCAGGAGGATCACCATGAGTTTGAGGCCACTCTGAACTACATAGTGAGACCCTGACTCAACAAAACAAAACAAAACAAAATGTAGGAACAAAACAAAGAAGTCTCAAGAGGACATAAGGGGCTCATGAAGGGCTTCAAGAGGACAAAGGGACAATATAAAGTTGAAGAAAAGTTGACCATTGTGGCACTCTTAGATCTCTCCTGAGTCCTCTCAGAATACTTCCAAGGGACACAGTGACAGTTCTGAGAAACAATGACTTGACCTGAGCTGTCACAGTGGAGCTCAAAACACACTGAATACTCATTAGCATTTAAAACTTTCTGAAAGACATCTCCAGCCACAGCCTGCTTGCAGCCTTCTCTTGACCGGAAGTGGCCCATCAGTGATGGCCACAGGCTGTGCGCAGCAAGGGACTGAGTCTCTTGAGCGTGAGGGAGCCGACCCATCTCACTGTGTTCAGGGATCTGCCTGAAAAGCCTACTTCTTGTTAGTTTTTTGTTTTGCGTTGTTTTACAGTACCAGGGATGGGATCCAGGGGCTTCACATGGAACTACACCCTCAGCCCTTTCTTATGCTAAGCTCGAATTTGCAGTCCTACTTCAGCTGCCCAGAGTGCTGGGATTACAGGTGAGCACGACCATGGCCAGCTCTCCTTCGAGTTTTTAAAGCTTAAATACACTGGGACAGTTTCTTACTGTGTCCTACCTCTCTGTATTTCCACCACAGGCCAAGGCGGATCTGCCTACCACATAAATTCCCTCTTTAGAAGGAAGCCCATCATATCTCGCCCCATCTTCCCCAGCACAAACTATCCCCTGGAAAATCTGCCACCTATTCAGGGATAGGAATGAACACAAGACAGAAAAGTACACGCATATTCATACTTTGCAGATTTATAAGCATGTCTATATATACTGTCACTTGATGACTCCAACAACCCATTTTATAGATGAGGAAATTGGACCTCATAAAGGTTTAATGATTTGAACCAGTCTGCACAGCTGACAAACTGACTGGGATTCAAATCCAGCCCTAAATTTTCTCTTGCTTTAAGTTAAATAATCCAACTATTGTTGAGAGAGAAATGAAACCAAAGAAGTTAAATAAGATCTACAGGTGCACAAAGGATCATCTATGCCGCCCCCCTTTAAAAATCTTGTTGACTCACTTCCCATTCATCTTCTCCCTACCTCCACCTTTTCTGACCAAAACCAGAACTTACTTTGTGCAATGGCCATGACTCCAGACAGTGGGGTCATGATGAGGTTCTGAGATTGCTGGGGATTATGGTGGGAGAGGCTGTGGATATTTGTCAAGGTGCTGACGGGGGGCAGGCCTCCTCCTGAGACTGATATCTGTTGGAGAGGAAAAACAAGAGCAGCATGAGTAGATTCCAGAGTGACATGACTTAGCAATTCCAGGGCCCAGCTAATTCACCAATGCATTCATCCCCTCTACAGTTATTAAGCACCTACTGTGGGACAGACTGTTCTAGGTGCTGAAGAGAGAAGTAAGTAAATCAGACAACACTTCCTACCAGATGGTGCCTGGATTTGCTGATTATCTATGACCTACCAGCCAGACTTAGAAATTCTCCTCTTCAGCATATTATGTGTTTGTCCCCTGATCACTTTGCATGTGTCCTCTTGTCTGCTTTCTGCCTTCTGTATTATGTGCTAGAGACACACGACTGCTTAAGACAATAACTGAAGAAATGCTCTGGGATTCCCCAAAGAAAGCAGATTAGGAACCAGGTAGGAGGGCAAGGAAGCCCACTCTGAGTTCTGCTCACATGTTAGTTCACACACCTTCTTACTACAATCCTGGGAGGTAGATGCTTCTGTCATTCCCATTTCACAGATGAAAACCTGAAGTTTGGAGTAGATATATATCCTGCCTAAGATGCTACAACTAGCAAATGGTAGAGCAGGTATTCAAGCCCAGGTCTGTCTGACACTAAAGCCCAAGTTCCCCTCACCCCATAATTATACCAAGGGTTGAGGGTTTAAGATGTTATTAGGTTTCTCTACTTTTTCCAAATCTTCACTGTACATTATAATTTCTTTATCTTTTATGTGAAGGAGCTGATGTTGCAATGGTAGAGCTGTTAAACAAGCTTCATTCTGTTTCATCATTATATTGTAATGAGATTAGGAGGAGAAAGCTACTAATTCTTGTGTATGTATTTTGTACATGACCATTTAATTGAATCCTTTTATTTATGCCTGCAGTTATAAATTTTTTAATTTTTCCAAGTACAGCATGTAATTGCATCACAAGCATAAAATGCTAAAAGGGTTTCTTCCTTGCTAGAACTAATACTATATCTTCAAGTCCCTTGGTTAGAACTTTTTGAATAGAATTAAACAAACAATAACTACAACAGATGTGCTTGTTTTGATCCTAATGTTATTAGAAATGTTTTCAATGTCTTCTCATTAATTATAAGTTTAATGAAACTCTCAGTTTTGCACACAAATGTACACACATATTTTCTCATACTACAGTAGCTTACTATTTATAGTTTAAAATAGTTTCTAAAAATATTATTAAGAGAGGACTGTCCCCTCATTTTAAACAAACTCAGACATTGTGGAGAGCATCAGGGGCCCTGAGAGGTGCGTTAGGATTAGGATACCTTAGGTATCTGAGTCACTTAACTTCCTTCCTTCCATCTCTCATTAGCCAAAGCTCTTTGGGTCATAGGTCCCATACCAGTAAGGAGGCAAGACCTTATCTCCTACCCTCCCCTTCCAGTCAATCTCATAATTTCCAAGGTTAATTTAAAAAAAGAAAGAAAGAAAAAAAAATCAAGCAGGTTTGTTTATGTTTTTTAAATGAGTTAGAGGTCACATCACCCAGAAGGAATTCTGACCACACCAAACAAGAGAGAACCAGTCTGTTTGCTAGACTTGTTTTTCAAAATGTCAGTCATAAAACAAAACAAAACAAAACAAAAAACCAGTGACCTGCCCGCGGACTGAATTCTTTCGGTAACACAGTCCTCTGGAGAAAGTCAATGAAACGATGTTCATCTCTCTGCCATTTCAGTGTTTGGCTTTTATAGTCCAACAGAAACATGGATGCCAGTGATAAAAGTACTTTAGTGTGTATGGCTTCAATTTGTAGGTTGCTTTTATTAATTGTCCTTAATAGTGGAAGATACAGATAGGACAGGTATTACTACTGTTTCTATATTACAGATTAAGACACAGATCCTCAAAAGAGTTGGGACTAGCTCTATGTCACTTGACTAATAAGTGAAGAACCCCAGATTCAAGCACAATTTTTCTGGAGTTTAAATCCATCCACTCAGGCAATTTTGGTCAAGTTACTTTCCACTGTAAAAGGCAACTATTATTTTCCATTTGCCTCAAGGACTAATGGAAGCCCGAGACTTGGGAAGGATGTGGTAGTAACCCTTACATGATAATCTGGAGGACTGAATCACACAATACTGCCATGTATAGTACCTTCAGTGGGAAAATTCTTTTACATGTCTTTAACTTATGAACTTGGTGTTATTTCTATTTTGCAGAGAAGAAAACTGAGGTTTAGAAAAATTAAGAAATATGTCCAAGGGGTCCGGTTGGAGTTGAAAGCAAGAGGCCTGCCTTCAGGGCCAGAGCTTTTTACCTTGACAACATACTACTTGACTCTGTGAAAGTATCTGGTGTGTGCTTTAAAAAAAAAAAAAAAAAGCCAATATACATGGGTTGCAACCCTAAGCCTGGCCAGCTTTCTACAATGCATACTTTTCCCCACTGTGGGTCTGGGCCCAACAGAGCAACAGAGAGTTTAAATGGACTGGCATTATTTCCAAAACCAATCTCTGGGGGAAGATTTCAAAGCCATGTCCTAGTGAAAGTAAGCACGCACAGATTGTCATTCCTAGAACAAGGCTTTCTCCAAACACAATAGAGCTATAAGCAATCCTGTTTCTTATGATATAGGCATTATTATCCCCATTTTACAGATGATGAAATGGAGGTTAAGCCATTTTTCCATCCTACTGCTGGTAAACGACAGAGCCAAGACTTGGAGACACAGGTCCCCTTGCCTGTGTTCCTTTTAAACCGTATTTTCCTATTGCCTTGGTGGACCAAGACCTGTGATGGCTTTGTTATACATTAACAGAGAACAGACTCTTGAATTTGGGCATCCAATGTCAGTGACATAACATACGAGTCCAGGGTGTTGGAAATGAGTGAAAACCTAGCCCCTGCAAACACACTTCCAGATGTTTGCTAACGTTGAGGTGTGCTGCCTTGGTCAATCATCAATCTGATAATATAGCGCCCGGTTAGGGCACTGTGGGACAGAACAGGGAGAAAAATGTGTATCTGCCGGCAGCCTGTGCAGCAACCTCGGCCTGGGTGAGGCAGCTTGCTGCTTAAAAGGAAGAGCAGGAAAGCTCAAAGGGAAAGTCCAAGGACCTTCGTGCAGTAAGAAGGGAGACTTGAAGTTGTTTTGTTCAGTGCTGGGATATTACCTAGGGTCTCAGGCGTGTCAGGCCAGCCCTGGACCTCTGAGCCACACTCCTAGCCTGAGTCCTGGAAGTGGGGCTCTCTTTCACAGACGTCCTCTTCCAGGAAAGCCTAGGTAATGCTTAACTTTAATTTGTCTGGGTCTTGACATGACTCTTGAGAAATCATAAAGATTTGCCTGTGCCTCTCACAAGGGAGCTGACACAAAATGTTCTTCAAGAAAAATGATCTTTCTTCAGGGATGGGTGGAGGGCAGGAAGGATGCAAAATGCCTCTCCATTGGAGAACTCTTTCATTTTTGTTTGTAAGGAACTCTGCCTGGCAGGCCAGCTCAGGTCCCCTGAAACTAGAGTTGGCTGGACCAGTGTTCCCCTCAGAAACTACACTTTGTTTTTCCTCCGGGAGCTGGGGCCTTGATTACCTGTGACTCACTAGTCCTGTGTTGCCTACACACATGTCAAGGTCTAAAATGGCGTCTGTTCCCTGCTGTCCTCCCCCAGTTCTGGCCCCCACTGACCTCTGGGTCAGACACATTGCCAGAACACATACAGTACCACCTCAGTGTGGAAGTCAGGAACCTCTGGCTCCTCCCTGCCCTGAAACGCTGAGCATGACCCAAAGAATAAAGTTTTTCCATTTCCTCCCCTCATTGTGTCATAATACTTTTGTCTCATGAGCTGCTCTCTGCTGCCCTGGTGTTACTAGAGGATTTGGACCTTCAAAATTCTAGTAATCGCAGCCGGGTGTGGTGGTGCATGCTTGTAATCCCAGCGTGCAGGAGGCTGAGGCAGAAGGATCATTGCAAGTCTGAGGCCACCCTGGGCTACATAAGTGAGTTCAAGGCCAGCCTGAACTGCATGATGAGACCCTGTCTCAAAAAGACCAAAAAATTCAAATAATCTATTCCTTGGCCAAGTGGACTAAACATATCTCTGAGTTGTGGGTATAGAAAACTTCACTTAATAAAGATAACACCAACTTTAACATTATAACGCCGCTGTTTAGTACATATCTTTTGTGCTGAACAAAGTGGGGAGTATTTCACATGTGTTAGTTATCACACTTATTCCCCTAACAACCCTATTGCTAGTACCTCCAGTTTATAGAGGATTTGAACCACAGGTACCTGGAACTTCAAAGCCGGCTTTCCCCACTCTAAGTACCACCCCACCCACCTGCCATTTTGTGCCGTGGTCTTCCCTGAAAAGGCATCCATATCCTTCAGAGTCTCAGTTCGAAAAGCTGCTCCATCTCCTACCATTCACTAAATTCTACCTGACTGTCCTTGCCAATACAAAGGGGGTTGCTGACAAGGGGGCTTGGTACTCCCTGGGTTAAAAAAACTGGCTTTGGAGGCCTTGGAGGGGAGGGATGAATGAACATTTTATCAACACAAATGTCACTGGCAGCCCCAAAACAAACAGCGTCCCACCCGGCTTGCTCCTTTATGAGGCATTCAATCAATAAAATGAGAGCAGAACTCTGTCAGATTTATTGGCTGGGTTCAAACCGAACACCTCTTCTACCCGCCACAGGCTGGGTCACCAGCTCTACCTTTCCGTTCCAACTTTGGTCAGCCCCCATTTTCTCCTGTGGGGTTACAATGGTTCATTGTTTGAGGCAGGCCTTGTGAGAAGTTGTGTTTGTTTTGCCTCTTATCTTATCAGCTCCAGAGCTACAATGGCCCAGGTGTACTCACCATTTTACCATCAGGTGAGAGGAGATTGTGGCCTGGGTCCAGGCTGGCTGGGGAGACTTGCTGTAAAACTGACTGGCTGGTCACCATGGCGCTGTTACCATGGTGACTGATTGTTGAGGAGGAAGTGACCTCATTGCTTCCTTGCTGGCTGTAGCGTACTCCTGAAAAACAACACAAGCCCCAAGAGGAACATTAATGTCACAGGGACCCTTGGAGTCCCTGTGATTCAGAGCCTCTTGTTTTCAAGGGTGGATGACAAAAAAGCACAATTGTCTCCCTCTCCCCTGTTTACCCATAGGAAATATCAGCTGTCTGTCTCTGGGATAATAGTGCCATGGTTTCTACTTTAATTCTAGAATGTAAGCTCCATGAGGGTAGGACATTCTGTCTGTTTTGTTTATTACTGTATTTCCCGGTGTCTTGACACTTGGTAGTCACTCAATAAACTGCTGAAAGAAGAGATTCTTCTTGTTATTGCTTTGGTATAGTTTCTTAGGATCTACAGACTGTTACTGGCCTTTTCTTCTTGGGCACAGTATTTATTTTATTCTTCAAATTGCCTTCTAGAAATGCTTCCCTAGCAGCTCCTCTTGGCTATATGGAGGCCCAAAGCATGAGTAGACCGACTGACAAAGAAGAGATATTGTCCAGTGGCCATAATTCAATCAGCAGTCTCTTGGTACCACTTTTGGCTGAGGCCAGGGGACACAGGCAGAGCAGGTCAGGGATGGGGCTTCAGCTTTCAGGTTTTGGCTCTGGAACTCACATTCCTAGAATCTCATTTGGCTGACTTCCAGCACACAGGGAACTGCATGGCTATAGGAGGTGAGGTGGCAGCTGATACAGGTGGGATGTGGATGCTTTATCAAACCATTGCAGTCTGATCTACAAGGGCAGAGGAAACCAAGCGTGCTTACAGCCTCATTGTGCTGACCTTCCTTCTTGGATAGAAAACACAAAGGAGGTCTGCTCTTAGGAAAAGGAAGGTGCTGGACAGAGACCAGGCAACTGAAAGAAGCTTAAGGGCAAAGAACCTGGAGCCATTTTGCAGATGCTAATCCTGTTGGAGGTGCCCCTGAAATAGCCAAGGACAAAGTTGGGAGACTTGAGCACAACTCACCTCTGATTTCTTATCCCCAGACAATGCTCTTGTGTTTTGTCTTGGATTGACAAAAAGGTCTGGGGGCTCTGTCCTGCCAGGGAGCAAGAACAACTCTCTAGGCATAGAATCACTTGGAGAAGTGGGCTGACTTTCAGCTGTTCATCTCCTTTTGCCCCATTTTCCAAGATGAACCATCCCTGTACACCAGTTCTATTCTTTTCCCCCTCCCCTGCCTCCTTCTCCAGCTAAAGCCCCATCTTCCAGGGGAGGCCACAAAGTCCCCTCTAGAGCCAGGCAAACTGCCATAGCCAGTGACCTCTAATTCACTAAGCTGGAGCTTACCAAGAAGAGACTCAAGCCAGTTTTCCCAGGATCCTCCTAAGGACATTACCCAAGGCTGACATGACCTAGAGCTTCAGAGGGCTGGGGAAAAAATAAACAAATGCTAAGGCATTCTGACCTTCAGGAGCAACTTGTTTGACTGTGAAGTGGCTTGGTGCTTGCTCTGTGGGCTTTTTGTATTGGCTGTTTCCCCATCCTTTGATCAAGGGGCTGATGGGGGGATGGGTTTGTCCCTGGAATTTGGTGGTTGTTGGTGCAGGGGACTACATTTTTTTGGGGAAGAACAGGAGCCATTAAGTTAAAAAGAGGAAAGGCTTCTGCCTCTCCAAATCAATACCCCTTGTTCTGCCTGTATTCCTCTGTATCTCTCTGGGGCCCTCTAGGGCTCCCTTTTACCCTTCTTGTAAAAGGATTAAGTTAGCTCCTGTCTTGCTACTCACTACTAGGCTGCCAATAGGATCTTCCAATAGTTCAAAGGGTTTTTCATATAGAAGAAGAAAGAGATTTGGAACTTATGTGTTCACAGGCAGAGCTAAGTCAATGGAAAGGAAGGAGGAAGGTTTCTAATAAATAAAAGGAAGAATTTCCTAGCAAAGAGGGAAAGTGGGAAGACTGTGCTCTAGAACTAGACAAACTTAGGTTCAAATCCTGCCTTTGCTCTTAATAGAAGTGCAATCATGGGAAAATTGCTTTTCCTCTCTGTACCTTGGTTTCCTCTCATAAAATGGAGAGAATACTTCCTCAACAGGGCTATTTTGGGATTAGAGCTCACATTTTATAGCTCCTAGCATATGGCAAAATACAAGGCAAGTGTCAGTGGGAATACTGGGGGAGGATGCTAGAGTCAGGATGGGTTCCAAGATACATGTCCTAAGGGTCGAATTATAGACAACTTGGGGCAGATTATAAGTAGCAAGTGAAATTAATTTCACAGAGAACAGTTTCTACAGGGTGCTGCTCTGGCAGAGCCACTGAGAATACTGCCCTGAATGCAACTTGGGAAGAGGCTTGGCTGCTGCCCTGATCTTTCATTTTGGAGGGACTGGACTTCACCCTGTTTCTCTCCCGCGTTTTCTGACTCCCTGATCAGCTATTTACCTCCCCAAGATGCTCTGCTCCTGAGAGAGTGGTGATAACACTGGGAGGCAGGTGTGTGCTCACCTCCCAGCTTGTCCCCATCATCGATTCAGTCTCAAATCAAACAGTCTCTGGATTTAGCCTATTTAATTTGGCTGAAGGAAAGGGCTAGCCCTGTGATGATCAAATATGGGTCACAGGGAGGCTTCTCTCTACCATGGGCCACACAATTATTTATTTAAAAATAATTAACCCAGGATATCCGCAGGAAACAAAAAGCCTTTTTTTACAAGACAGCATGGCAGGAGAGAGGCCTGAACCATTTGTTAGAGTCCAGGCAGTGCAGCTCAAGCCTGCTGTGGTTTGCACGCTTTGTTTCCCAATACGATCTTCATTATGTGAGAGATACAATGGCGGAGCTGCTCTGCTAAAGGCAGATGGACCTCTGAACCTCCCTTCAAAAACCTTGGGCTAAGGGCCAGAGTCCTGGCTGGGAATTAGGCGATCCCTGTTTAGACCACAGCTTTGCCATCCATTTACTGAGTGACCTCCAGCTTCCTTATCTATAACCCAGAGGCTGCCTACTGCAGGGAGGGGGGTTTCACTGCATTCCGGTGGGAGCTAGGCAGAGGCTTCTCATCGGCTCAGGACCCACTGTACCTTCTCCCACTGATGCTGCTCTCACTGGGATGGCTGGGCCCCGGAGGGGGCTGCTGTAACTGGCTAATGTGTGTGAGTGGTAGAGAGGGATAAGTGTTCTTGTTAGAGGAAGGAGAAGCCAAATCTGTGTCTATTTCACACATTCAGAAGAGCACTTGAAATGAGCATGGATAGGCTCTCTCACCTAGGTTTAAAGCTTGGCTCTCCCATGTAATAGCTGTGTGACCTTGGGAAGGTTATTTAACCTCTCTGAACTTTACTTCCCTAACTGTTAACAATACCTATCCCAAATCATTGGGGGGAAAAAACATTCAGTGAATTGGCAGATGTGAAATTGTTGCTCAGAATATAACAGTTTCTGCCACTTTCAGACTGCCTTTGTCTGAAGGATGTTTTCAGAGAGCCTGAGATCATAAAACTTTACTGAGCACCTGGCACCCAAGCACTGTGGAGCCTGTGTTAAGAAGTGGAATGGGATCTTCCCTTCTTCCTTCTGCACTGTTAGCTCAAAAAATGAAGATATGAGAAAGGTTTTGGGTTAACCCTTACTTGCCAGAAATGCCAGATTAGTAGCACAGGGGATCATGGAGAAATGACAATGACAGATAGTAGCAACACCCCTATACCTACTTCCTGGCTCAAACCACTGATTGGCTGTGTCCTCATCATAAACGCTGTGCACCACAAGTGTGTCCAGGAGCACAAGCCACCCCAGGTGGAATCTACAGACCTCCAGAACTTTCCCCTGTTCCCAGGCCCCAGCTGCATGGCTGTGGGGTTACTGCCGAATTCCCAACAGCACATGGACAGATGCAGATCATCTGGTAATACTGACCAGTAATACTGGTCAGAAGTTTCAAAAACACGGATGAAGCGTATGTTCCAGCGTTCCCTGCCCTGCCTTCCTCAGCCAGCATCTATCTCCAGCATGCTTCAAGCTGCTGCACCTTGGGATTTCTTTCTAAACAAAAGCATACCCTGTCCCTGCCCAGCTTGGAAACTTCTGACGGCTCCTCACTATTTTCTAACCTGAGACTGGCAGAATCAGGCTTTGGGCCTTTGATGCCTTATTTGCATCATCTCTAGCCACACCCCCTGCAGCCTCATGAGCGCTCTCAAGTGGTCCCGCCATGTCCTGTTTTGTGACTTTGCTTTTGCTTCTCCTTCTGGGTGAAAAGCGTTTCCCTTCCTTTCCATGTCACACCCTTTGTGAAGGCTAAATGCCACCTCCGGGAAGCTCTTCTTGATTCATTCTCTGCTCTGTCCTTTGTATCTTGTATGTGCTAAGAGACTCCAGAGCAGGAGTTGCCCACCCCGTATGCTCACGTGTTGACTTCTATCTCCCTTTTAAAGAAGTGATGGCTTTTACTCATTGTTGTACCCTCCGCTCTGCAGAGCACCTGGCACTGTGACTGTTTAAAAAATGAAGAAATGAGTCTCAGTGGCTTTGCGTGCCCCTACCCCGGAACAAGGTGCGTCACTTCTAGCAGGAAACCTGTGGTCAGTTCTGTGGTAATCACTGCATTAATCTTGTGAATCTCTTCCAACTGCATTGCTGCACTAGAGAACCGTGTGAGTCACATCAATTTTACATCTGAGAAACACTAGTGAATTCATAAATCTGTACTGAGCTGAATGGGGCCACACAGAAATACATTAAATGTGCCCACGCACGCACACACACTTATGCATCTGCCAGCTACCTCCGTCACTCTGTGTGCTATAAACCACATCTATGCCCTGAGGAACCACACTGTTTGCCAGGCGTGGTGTGCACACCTGTAATCTCAGCACTCAGGAGGCTGAGGTAGGAGGATTGCCAAAAGTTTGAGGCCAGCCTGGGCTACACAGTGAGTTCAAGGCCAGCCTGAATGACAGAACTAGGCCCTCTCTAAAATAAATAAATAAATAAAAGAACCAAAAGAAAAGGAATCATGATAATCCTCAGTGACTTAGGACTTGGAACCTTCTAATGCCCAC